TGCCCAGCACAGTCCCTTTCGGTTGTCTGGGTCCAGGAGAGGACCAGAGAAAGAGGCCAAGTCCCTGAGCTAAGGCGGAGCACATAATTCACAGATGGTTATACTACGATTGGACTGCACTCCGGCATTACAGACACCTCGGAAAGTGAATTGCACATCTCCAGCGAGACTGTCGGGAGAACCGTCTTCAGTCCTAGAACCACAGGCGGACAGAGGTGGTCAGGAGTCAGGCGACGCTGACGCTGGGCCCTGCGCAGGGCAGGTGAGGAGGCATGATGAGCCAGGTAGGCTCCACAACAGGATTTACTGAGAAGCTACCCTAGGCACCCACAGTAAAAACGTCTACTAATCTCTGAAATTTCCATCTCTTTCACACCTGTGTTCTGTCAGCTTCTGCAGAGTTTTACCACAGTAACACCCCAAAATCTCAACGGCGACCTGCACAAAGGCTTGTTCCACAATTTTACAGGCCAGCTGTGGCTCTGCTCCACCTGGGGACCTGGGGTAGGGAGGTGGACATGCAGTTCCGGAGCAGAGGGCAAAGGGGCAGTGGCTCAGCTGTGCCCGGCCCTCAGGCTCCTGCCCGCAGATGTCACCGCCCCCACACTGCATCACGGCCACGCCCGACCTCCACAGGGCTCGGAGACATTCGCTCCTCGGGAAGGACACCAACGACAGGCCTGGACCAGGTGGACTGGGCATTTCGAATAAAATAAAATAAGATAATCTACCACATACCCGACTTCTTTTGAGGATTAAAAATTTATTTTCAAGTAGTCACAGGGAACTACCGGCTGTTTTAGCTTATTTTGGTAAAAACAGAGCTCCACCTAACGTCTACCCTGCTATACAAGTTGCACATGCTCCTAAATATTCTTTTTGGTGCTGCCTGAGCCAACCGTACATCTAATTGTACCAATGAGAACATGGGTAAAGCTAAACGAGGCTCTTCATTACCACCGAGGAAAAGTAAGGGCAGCTTTCTGGATAAACTGTCAGTAAACACAACGAGGCAGATGTCCTGTTAGCGGAGAGCTGGGGAGGGTGGGAAGGTCCTGTTCTGTAAAGTCGTACACATGATTTCAGCAGAAACAACGGAGAACAGGGAGAAGGGGCCAGAATCTCTGAGCCAGGCTTTATGGAGGATGAGCCTGGATCTAGGGAGGTTTAGGAAATACTCAAGTTCATTCCAGTTCAAGTGTCAGAGGCAGAATTTAAATTTTCACACTTTCTCCAGCTCCAAAGCACTTACTTTGTCTTGTGCCCAGTACTGGCTCCCCAAAGGAAAGGGACAAAGAGAGGGAAAGAGAAAATAAGGAGAAGAGAGGTTAAAAAAAGGAAAGGTAAAAGGAAAGTTGAGAGGGAGAAACAGCAGAGGGCAGAGGAGGCAAGAGAGAAAGGAGATAGGAGAGGAAAAAGCAGAGGGAGAGAAGACCAACAAAGGAAAAATAATATTGAAGGAGAACAAAGTCGGAGGATTGACACTACCTGTAAGACTTACTATGAAGCTACAGTAACCGAGACAGTGTGGTACTGGTGAAAAAATAGACAAAGAGACCAATGGAACAGAATAGAGAGCCAGGAAAGACACCCCCATAAATACAGTCAACTGATCTTTGACAAAGGAGAAAAGGCAATAAAATGGAGCAAAGATAGTCTTTTCAACAAATGGTGCTGGAACAACTGGACATTCACATGCAAAAAAATGAATCTACACAGAGACTTTGCACCCTTCACAAAAAATAACTCAAATGGGTCACAGACCTAAATGTAAAACAGAAAATTATAAAACTCTCGGAAGACAACATAGGAGAAAATCTAGATGACCTTGGTGTGATGACAATGTTTCAGATACAACAACAAAGGCACGATCCATGAAAGAAATAACTGATAAGCTGGAATTCATTAAAATCAAAAACTTCTGCTCTGTGAAAGACAGTATCAAGAGAATTAGAAGACAAGCCACAAACAGGAAGAAAATATTTGCAAAAGACGCTGTTATCCAAAATATACAAAGAACTCTTAAAATTCGACACTAAGAAAACAATCAGATTTAAAAATGGTCCAAACAACAGGCACATGAAAAGATGCTCAACATCACTAATCATCAGGGAAGTGCAAATCAGAACCACAATGAGATGTCACCTCACACCTGTAATGATAGCTATTGTCAAAAAGACAAGAGATAACAAATGCAGGTGAGGATGTGGAGAAAAGGGAACCCTTGAGCACTGTTGGTGGGAATGTAAACTGGTGCAACCACTATGGAAAAAAGTATGGAGTTTCCTCAAAAATTTAAAAATAAAATAGAATTATCATATGATCCAGTAATCCCACTTCTGGGTATATATCTGAAGGAAATGAAATCACTATCTCAAAGAGCTATCTGCACCCCCGTGTCCACTGCAGCATTATTTACAATAGCCAAGACCTGGAAACAACCTAAGTTCCATTGACAGATGAATGGATGAAGAACACACAAAATGGAACATTATTCAGCCATAAAAAAGAAGGAAATTCTGCCCTTTGCGACAACATGGATCACCTTGAGAGTATTATGCTAAGTGAAATAAGTCAAAGACAAATACTGTATGATCTCACTTATATGTGGAATCTAAAAAAATACAAAACCAAACTCATAGAAACAGAGAACAGATTGGTGATTACCAGAGGTGGAGGTTAGGGGTGGGGGAAACGGGTGAAGGGGGTCAAAAGGTACAAACTTCCAGTTATAAGTTCTGGGGATGTGATGTACAACATGGTGACTGTAGTTAACGATACTGTATTGTATATTTGAAATTTGCTAAGACAGTAGATCTTAAAAGTTGTCATCACAAGGAAAAAAACTGTAACTACATGAGGTGATGGATGTTAACTTATAGCGATAATTATTTTGCAATATATACATATATCAAATCATTATGTTGTAGACAAACTCACACAATGTTATATGTCAATTATAATCTCAATAAAACTGGAAAAAAAAGGTGCGCCACATCATATGCCATTAGGAGATTACAAATTGAACCAACAGGCCTATTAGAATGGCCAAAATCCAAAACACAGACAACACCAAATGCTGACGAGGATGTGGAGCAACGGGAAACTCTCATTCATCGCTGGTGGGAATGCAAACGGTACAGCCACTTTGGAAGACAATTTGGCAATATCTTAAGAAACTAAACATACTCTTACCATACGATCCAGCAATCATGGTCCTTGGTATGTACCCAAAGGAGTTGAAAACTTATGTCCACTCAAAAGCCTGCACAAGGATGTTTATAGGAGCTTTATTCATAATTGACAAAACTTGGAAGCAACCACAATGTTCTTTAGTAGGTGAATGGATAAACCAAGTAGGTGGGGGATGTTGATAGTGGGAGATGCTGTGCTTGTGTATGGGATAGGGTGGGGGTACACGGGAACTCGCTGTACCTTTTCCCCAATTTTGCTGTAAACTTTGCTCTCAAAAAATAAATTCTACTACATAAAAAATTAAAAACAAATAAAAATAAACAAGATGAGCAAAGCAAAAAAAAACAAAAACAAAATCAGTAAACGACCTTCACTGGTGACTTGCAAAGTTCACTTCAAGTCACCTTTGCAGCGGCCCGGCCTTCTGGAAGGCTGAGGAAATCCGGAAGGCGGTGACCCCCCGCAGGTGGGAGGTTAGGCCTGGCTGGCCTCCGGGCAGCTGCGCGCGAGGACCGGCAGGCCCCGGAGGGTCGGGGCGCCCCCCACCGCCGAGACTCTCTGGGGGTGCTAAGCCAGGCTGAGACTCTCCGTGAGGGCGCTGGGCCGGGCCGGGCCGGGTCGGTCCGGGAGGACAAAGAGCGTCCCCGGGAGGAGCCGCTCTCCAGCGCCTGCGGCCCGGGACGCGGCAGCTTTCCGGCCCGGGACGGTGTCCCCAGGGCAGGGCGCCAACCCTCTGCGCGCCCCGGGGCGACCGGGGCCTCGGGTCGGCGGTCAGGGGCTGACCACGCGGCTTACCGGCCGCCGCGAGCTCCCCCGAGCGCCTGGTGGAGACGGGCCTTGTCCCTCCGGCTCTGCTGCCCCCCAGCGGGCCGCCGCACCGCGTCACTGCTCACTGGGGACGCGAGGACGTGGGGACCCGTGTGCCGGAGCGAGCTGTCTCCTCCGCCCCTAACTGGCCACCTTTAAACCTAAACACAAGCCGGCACGCGCGCTGAAAACCACAGAAGAACGCGCGCGGGCACGAGAGCGTGTCCGGCGCCAGGTTGGGGCCACCCCGTCGCCGCAGCCCCGCGTCCTCGCGCCCCGCGCTCGGGGAGTACCTGTCCCGGCGGAGCGCGTCCCGGGCGGCCCCCACCCCTCCCCTCCTCCCTTTCCTCCTCTTCCTCTCCCTCTGCCCCGCCTCCCCGCTCGCGCCCTTCCAGGCAGCCGCGTCTGCCGCCTTCCCCCGGGCGGCCCCTGCCCCCGCTCCTCCTCCCCTCCCTCGCTCCACTCTTCCTCCTCCTCTTCCTCCTTCTGCCCCGCTCCTCCCCTTCCTCCTCCCTCTCCCTCTTCCTCCTCCGCGGCCCCGCCTCCCCCCTCGGGCCCTTCCAGGCGGCTGTGTGCCCGGCCACCCTCGGGTCTCGCAGCTGTGCGCCCCGGCCAGGCCCCGCCGCGGGCCCTCGGGAGGGGGGAGCGGAGGGCACCCCGGGTGGGGGCCCTGTGGACGCCCCCGCATCTCCAGGGCCCGCCGTCCCCGAGCTCCGGCCCGCGGGCAGGAACGCGCGCCGTGCGTCCTCGGGGAGGGGGGCGGCAGGCTTGGGGACCCGGCTCGGAGGGCGGGCAGAAGGGCCCGCGCGGGCCGCACGCGTCCCGCTGCGTCCGGAGGCGGCAGTCAAACCGTTAACGCGCAGGGCGGGTTCGCGCGCGCTGTCCTCACCGCCGAGCGCACCGATTAGAGGGCGGAGGGAAGACCGACACCAAGCGAGAAATACCCTGCGGGCTGCGGCGGCGTGGACGCGCCTCTCCGGGCTGGGCTCTGGTCCTCCGCGGCACCGCCGGAGCGCGCAGGGCGTCCGCGGGGTGCTGCCGAGCGGGCTGCCCGGCCCGGAGACGACCCTCGGCGCGAATTCAGAGCCAGATCGCCCTTCCCAGAAGACTCGGGGTCAGCCGCGCAAAAGGAATTAGACAAAGGCTTCCCCCACCTCTCTGAACTTGTAAAACGCCCTTAAAAGGAATTTGGAGCCACTTGAGGGACAGCGCGTTTTCTGGCCAGAGCGTCACCAGGGTTCTTTTGCCCAACAGGTTTGAGGAGGCAGAGAGCTGGGCGCGGGCGACATGGCCCTCGTGCCCTACGAGGAGACCGCGGCGGTGGGGCTGCAGAAGTTCCACAGGCCCCTGGCCACCTTCTCTTTCGCAAACCACACGATCCAGATCCGGCAGGACTGGAGGCACCTGGGAGTGGCGGCGGTGGTGTGGGACGCGGTAAGCAAGCCCGGGGGCCTCTGACAGCGTCTGCAGCTGGTTCTAAGACTGGCCTGTACTTTTTAAAATAAACAGCTGTCTTGAGATACAATTCATATACCATACATTTCACCTATTTAATGTGTACAATTTAGTGATTTTTTAAAGAATAATCAGAGTGGTGCAACCAGCACTATGCTCAATTTTAAAACATTTTCATCACCTACCCCATCCAAAATAACTTCTACCCATTAGAATCATTTCCCTGCCCCCCTCCCCCATTGCTTTTTAAGGGTGAGTAACGGAAAGCAGAGGGGAGTTGAATGACTTGGGTCAGGGGTGGGTGAGGAGCAGCAGCCCCTAACAGCTTTGGACACTCATTTAGTTAATTTATTTATTTTTTTTGGTGAGGAAGATCAGCCCTGAGCTAACCGCTGTTGCCAGTCCTTCTCATTTTGCCGAGGAAGACTGGCCCTGGGCTGACATCCGTGCCCATCTTCCTCTACTTTATATGGGACGCCGCCACAGCGTGGCTTGACCAGCGGTGCGTGTCTGGGCGCCGGGATAGGAACCTGCGAACCCCCGGTTGCGGAAGCCCAGCGCCGCACTTAACCGCTACGCCACCCAGTGGCCCCTAAGTTAATTCTTAAGTCAAATTTTTAAAATAGTGCACAAAGAATCTTTTAAAGTGACAAAACATGAAATGAAGATGGTGTATTTTCTTTGTTTCCCATAGTTGTGATGGTCACGGAATTATCCTTTTTATTCTTCTCCCAGCACAGTGACTTGCCCTCCACAGCTAGCACCACACCTGGGACTCAGTGGGCGCTCAGTTAGTGCTGGATAAATGACTGGCATGGATACAATTTTACAGCCTGAACATTGTGTTAGGGATGTCAGAGAAATGTTTAGGAATAAAAATCTCCATATGTTCTAACCCAGTAATACCACTTCTAGGACTTTAGTCCAAGGTGACTATGTGACAAGTATTCCCGGAATGAATGATAAAGATAGCTGCTAGTGAGTAATGCTCACCAAGAAGAGGAATTGTAATTATACTTACAGCCTATGGCCATGAAAAGCACATTATAGTAAACAATTATGTTAACAGGACACAATGCCTTATAGAATTGTATTCGAGTGCTGGCTCAAACATCAAGTATCCAAAACTTTGGCCAAAACTCACCTTTTGACGCCCAGTAATGTCTGGTGAGGGCCCTGTGGGGTGGTCAGGGCTGCAGCTCCGGGGCCTGGGCGCTGCTCTGCATTTTCCCTCTGGGAGGTTGTGACCTGGCTGACCTGAGCTTGGGTGGGGACTCGACATTCCCTTAAACAAACTCTCAGAGACTGTTCAGTCAGCTCTGCAGAGTAGTTTTGTGAACCCCAAGTGTGAAAACGCTGTGACACAGTATCGGGACCCATCTCGTGTGGGCAGTGTCACTGACTGCTGCCGCCCCGTTAGGGACTTAGGGGGCCTCGGGGACCTGCGGTGGGGGCCGGGTGTCTGCGTGCTAGTGGAGTCCCTTGCGTGCTGTTGAGCTGGGAGCTGAGCCTTGCGGGGGGGGGTTGTGTGTCCTCCCTGCAGAGCGTAGCCTGCTTGAAGCCCCCCAGCCCCTCCAGCATGTGCTGACCCTCATCACACTGCTGTGTTTTGACCCAGGCTGTTGTTCTTTCCACGTATCTGGAGATGGGAGCCGTGGAGCTCAGGGGCCATGCTGTCGTGGAGCTGGGTGCTGGCGCGGGGCTGGTGGGCATAGTGGCTGCCCTGCTGGGTGAGTGTGACCTGCCGGCTCACTCCTGTGTGAGTGGACTCGTCGAGAGGGGCCTTGGCTGTTTCCATGGTGCAAATCCTTTGCTAGTTTCTCCCGTTCTGGATTATTTTCCTTGCTCCTGTACTTATATTATGAGTTATGGGCTGACTGCTGGTGCTCTCAGCTCTGGGAGGGCTAATCTCTCTCTCTCTCACCCTGTAGTTCATACTTTTCGTGGGGCATTGCTTTGCCTCCTTCAATTCTGCGGTGCTGATAATAGGATCTGAAGGCAACCTTGAGTTCAAGGAGAGTTATCTTGTTCATGGACATAGTTGTTATGTCCAGGGCTCTCCCGTGCCCTCTGGCGCTTAACTGACAGGTGGGCAGAGCAGAGTCTCTTTGCTTCACTGCTGAGGAAACGGCTGGTATTTCTCTTCTGGGGAGGGTCGGCCCGGCTTCAGGTTGTACTGACATATTAAACAGTTTACAGTTTGAATTGATATCAAGGTTTGTCATTTTTTTGTTTGATATGCAGACACTGATTTAGGCCTAGAGCATTTTTAAGCTTCGTTTTTACTTTATTATTCATTCTTGACTCCTTTCTACAACTTCTGGCTTATACAGTTCAAGCCACCTGATGATAGGATAGACCAGCTGCTAAGATAGAATGTCCATAATGTTCATCACTTCAGTACTGTCACCTGGGCCTCTTCTGCTTCCGTGGAGCCAGGTCAGGCCCGAGAGCCTGCCTTTCTGACAGGCTCCCGGGTGCTGCTGATGCTGGGCCTGCGGCACTCGGGCCGCACTTTGGTGGGAAGGATCTAGAATTCCCATGTTGTGTCCAGGTGCTCCAGGTCCCACTAGAGCCCCTCTTTGTTCTGTGCTTTTTCTGGTGCCTTATTTCTTTTTCAGTATTCTCTTCATGGGGGCGTGGGCAGGGGTGGTGGCTCGAGCACAGAAGGCTGTGTTAGGAGCCCTCTGTCTGACACCACAGCGCTTGAGGCACTGATGGGGCCCCTGCTGCTACACCCTGTGTTCTTCTCAGGAATGTTAGGTATTATTTTTAATTTTCATTTTTCCAGTGAAACCGGGGTTGCAGGAGATTAAGCCGCTTTCTGAAGCCTGGTCGGGAGCCCCGAGATCACACCAAGTGTAACACACTTCGCAGCCAGAGTTGTTTCCTCTCCACGACACCATCTCCCTCTGCTGCCCTGAGAGGGGTTAACCGAGGGGAGACGGGTCCTTCTGTCTGCTGAGAGCAGGGGCTTCACGCAGAGCCGGCTGCAGAGACATGGTGGTGTGGGCAAGCACACAGGTTAGAGGTTCACACCTCTTTTCACTCCTACAGCTGTGTGACCTGGGGCAAGTTCCTTAATATCTAGACTTCAGGTTCCCTATAAAATGGGATAATAATTGTAGTCACCCCTCAGTGAGGATCAGATGAGATCAGGGGTAGAAATCTGAGCTCCTTGACTGGCACACAGTAAGTGCTCACTAAGTGCTGATTGCCTCCCTGAGGGTTTCTGCTTCTGATCAAGAAATCCGGGCCTGTGGGGTTGGGATCACAGACGGTCACGGCGTGAGGGCCCAGTTGGTTGTCGCCACAGAAGACGGGTGGCCCTGGGAGTGGGTAGAACAGCACACGGTGTTCCCCACCCAGCCTCGCTGTCACCCCTGAGCCCTTTGCTGCCCCGTTTTGTTTCCCCGTGGCACTGTGCCCCGTCTCCTCTGTGCCTGCCTCCCGCGTGTTCCACGGTCTGTGTCCTGGCACCTGAGGCTCTGAGAGGGTCCGGCTCCTTGTGTGTGTGCCTGATTCTACTGCAGCACCTGCTTCACAGCAGACACTAACTCGTTCTGGAGTGAGAGACGGACGAACTAGAGAATCACGACGGTTAATGTTTCTGTCATAAAAGTGATTAACTCTGTTACAAATATAGCCCTAAAAGCAGTCTAAAAAAAGAGGACAAAACCCCAGCAAAGATTCTAATTATTCATGACTCTGCTCATAATTACTATTAGCGTTTTGGTGTATGTCCTTCCATTCTTTCTTCTCCATCCGTATTTTTTTTTATTTTTTATTTTATTTTTTTTCTTTTGTGAGGAAGATTGGCCCTGAGCTAACCTCTGCCAATCCTCCTCTTTTTTGCTGAGGAAGACCGGCCCTGAGCCAACATCCATGCCCATCCTCCTCCACTCCATATGGGACACCGCCACAGCATGGCTGGACAAGTGGTGCATTGGTGCATGCCCGGGATCTGAACCGGCGAACCCTGGGCCGAGGCAGCAGAGCGCACGCAGCCAACTGCTTACACCACCAGGCCGGCCCCTCCATCCGTATTTTTAATCATAGTTGTAGTCATCGTTATATACACGTGTGCACATGTGTATATACACGCACACATACGTGTGATGCTTCATTTAACACAATGTCGTGTGCACTTCTCTGCGCTGCTGCTCGATTTTCACACTCATTGTGGTGACAGTATTAGGCTGGAGAAGTTTTGATGTTGAAACCTGAGGGTGAGAAAAAGTTCATCTCTTTAGAATGGAGACTGTGAGAACTAAAATAGGCAGTGATTTTGAAATGTCAGAGAGAGATTGGTTGTTCTCCATTTCCCAGTGTTTTCGTTTTCGTAACCCTCGTCATTTATTCCTGAATTCCAGGAGCACCCCCCACGTGCCTGGCCCCTCTTCCGTGCCACAGACAGAACGGCGAGAAGCCAGGCAGGTCACTGCTCTCAGGAAGCTTCTGTTCTAATTCTACTGGGGGAGAGGGAGGAAAAGACAAATTACGTTAAAAAGCCAAAACAAAAGGGTGCGTGCTACGCAGAATGTCAATTTAGGATGATGAGATTTCCTGTTAAAGCAGCAGCAACTGCTAAGGCCGAGCCATTCCTATCTCCTGGTGCTGGTTCTTTCCAGGCTCTCCTTCCCCCAGGGGCCCCTCGTGGTGGGTCTGCTCGAGGAGCTCTCTCCAGGAGGTGAAATGAAGGCTCCATGGAGGTGAAGGAACTTGCCCAAGGTCACAAAGCTAATGGATTGTGGAGTTAGAATTTGAGTCCAGTTCTGACTCTCAAACCCTGGTTCTCAGTCTGAAACTCTCCCCTCTCCACGTAACCTTTATACTGCTTAGAAGCTATTCTGAGAAAAAACCATCCCACCTTCAAGGTAGGGCTCTGTGAATTGGAGTGGGGTCAGGGAATCTGGACTTGGAAAGCTTTCCCAGGTGACATGATGCCCAACCCAGGCTGCGGACACTGTCTTAAAATGTGAGGCTCAGGAAGAAACGGTCTCTTCGTTTTCCGTAATTCTGGTGCAAGTCTCCCTGATCTTCTGATTCGTGTGTGTAACTGAATGCTGGATGTCTCTCCCTGGCTGTGTCTCAGCCCCTCGCAGTCCGTGTTTAGACCCGAGCTCATCTTCCCTTTGCAAACTCGTCCTCTCTTTTGTTCTGGGTTAGCATCACCATCCACGTGGTGGCTCAGGCCAACTCCTTGACTCGCCCCACCCCCAACACTGACCTCTGCTAATTTTATCTTTTAACTATTTCTTTCTTTCTTTTTTTTTTTTTTGGTGAGGAAGATTAGCCCTGAGCCAACATCTGTTGCCAATCCTCTTCTTTTTTGCTGAGGAAGATTGGCCCTGGGCTAATATCCGTGCCTGTCTTCCTCTGTCTTGTATGTGGGATGCTGCCACAGCATGGCTTGATGAGCGGTGTGTAGGTCCGAACCTGGGGTCTGAACCCGAGAACCTCAGGCCACTGAAGTGGAGCGCGTGAACTTAACCACTATGCCACTGGGCCAGCCTCTTTTAACTTTTTTGATTCTGTTTCTTTCCAGTCCCACTGCCTGGCTGGAGCTCTCATCACCTTCTCCTTCGTGATCAGACCCACATCCCCTCCTGAACTTTCTGCCTCTGTCTTCTCAAACCCACTTTCCCAGTGGCTGTTGGAGTGGCCCATCTGAAACGCAGAAGTTATGGGGTGACCACACTCAAACATTCCTGTGTCCCCCACCACCTGTAGGCTGAACCCCATGCTCTATAACCTCACTTTGCCTGACTCCCCAGCCTCACTCTTGTTCAGCGCGATGGCACTGTTTGAAGTTCCGGGGACACACGCTGCGTCTGGCCTGTCTTCTCTGAGCCCTCTCTTCACCTCTTCCCTCTGGTTAATAGCATGTCCTTTCAGTGTGAGCCCAGATTTCCCTTCCTTTGAAAGCTTTCTCCGGGCCGGCCCTGTGGCTTAGTGGTTAAGTGCGTGCGCTCTGCTACTGGCGGCCCGGGTTCGGATCCCGGGTGCGTGCTGACGCACTGCTTCTCAGGCCATGCTGAGGCCACGTCCCACATACAGCAACTAGAAGGATGTGCAACCATGACATACAACTATCTACTGGGGCTTTGGGGAAAAAAAAAAGGAGGAGGATTCACAATAGATGTTAGCTCAGAGCTGGTCTTCCTCAGCAAAAAGAGGATTAGCACGGATGTTAGCTGAGGGCTGATCTTCCTCACAAATAAATAAATAAATAAATGAAAATTAAAAAAATAAAAAAGAAAGCTTTCTCTGAGCTCTGCTCCTCTGCAAGCGGCCCCCCTTCGTGACCCAGAATTTCCCGGCCCGCCCGTGTTCCTCTCGTTTATAGCCGAGGCTGCATCACAGTTATGTTTATGTGCCTCTCAGGAGACTCTGAGTTCTAGAGGGCAGGGTTTTCTTGCTTATCTCTGTATCTCTAGCACATAGTGTGTGCTCAAATGTTTGAATAATCCCTCCTTACCCAGCATAAATCTCAGGAATCATCGATCAGATCACTGTCTGTATCACCATCTTCACCTCCCGTCAACACCCTGCCCTTCCTCACTTCATCTTCTTTGTTCGTCTGAAAGCAAGGTGAAGTGCAGCTTTCCCCTTGTCCCCAGCCTGCCCCGTGCCGCTGAACGTGGCTGTAGGAGTCATCCTGCTGCTGGTCTCATTGTGAACTCCTGATCCGGAGCCTCAGGGCGCACCTAGTGCTGAGCAGTCACACTCAACTTCCTCTCTTTCCTTCCATGCTCTTTCCCTTGTGCTCTGCGGTGCTCCTTCCTCCATCCTCACTCTTAGCTGACGACATTTCTTCTTACTTCACTGAGGAGACTGCAGCCTCTGTACCCTCCCACCACTGCCTTGCCCCCACCTGCGACTGGACCGAGTCTGTGCCTTTGCTCCTGATGCTGTAATGTCCAGAAGAAACGTCAGTCCTGCCGGGCCCACCCTGTCACCTGTTCTCTTTCCTGCATCCTCACCTTTCTCCCTTTCTCCCTCATCATTCCTATCAGCATACAAACTTGCTGTTATTTCTCTCATCTGAAAAAAAAAAAAAAAAGTCTTCTTAAGTGGCTGCTTCTGGGTCTGTGGCAGGAAATGTATCAGAGGACCTGGAATACCTTGTCATACCAGACAGCGGTCAGGGATGACTGGGTTTGTGTGAAAGGTCCACTGGCAAAAGATAGGACAGTTTGGACATCAATGATGATAACAGTGATGGATTTAAGTACATCAAATATATTTAATCCATGAGTTCATGATACAACAGCAACAAAAGAAACCCCACTAGTCATCTCTGTCAGATGCTTAGAAACCAACTCTCTGAAATTTGATTTCTAAAAGGGGAGGGAGGAGCACAATTTGTCTGCCTTTCCTGTTCAGACAGTTCCTATACGAAAGGAGTAACCAAAGAGTCATTGAAAGAAGCTTCCCTTTTATAGAGGTTTCTCAACAAATAAATGCAAAAGAAATCTAATGAATTAAGGATCCGGGCATGGAGTATTCATGGCTGCTCACATTGCAGAAATAGAGCCCACCAAGTATTACATGCCTCTTGACGAAAAGCACACCACCACCTCTGAAATAGGTTCAAAAAGTCAAACTCAGATCAAACAAATTCATGGGAGATACAGAGGATTGAGGACACACTAGACTGTGCAGATGCGACAACCAGCAAGATCCAGACTGTGGGAAACTACAGGACAAGTGATCTAGTCCCTAAATTGTAGGAAAAAGAGAGAAAGGAAACTGATGATTAAGAGAGACCTAAAACATCCTGTGTACCCCTCCCCTAAACAAACAACCTTCAGCAAAGCTGTCTGTTCAGGGGTGACCTGAAAGACTCAGGACTGGTGAGGGAGTGATCCTGTGAGTCGGGAGATGGTCCCTGTGGACGGTGTCTGGGGGTGGTCACGGCCAGGTGCAATCCACCAGCCTCCCGGCCTTGCCCCCCTGCTGGGAATTCTGTTAAAACCCAGGTCAGAACATTGGCACTTCTGCTCAGCGTCCCCAGGGGCCCCAGCTCACTCAGAAAAAGCCAGAGCCCTTTCAGAACAGGACTAGGAGGCCCCGGATGGTCTGCCTCCCTCCCTCCTTTACTTCTCTGGCCTCATCTACTCTGCTCCTCATTTGCTCCCTCTAGCCTCCTCCTCGCCTGCCCTCTCGGCCTTGGCTCGGCTCTTCTGCCTCCAGGAACATGCTCCCGTGAATGCACTCCGTCGTCCCCTCACTTCCTTCAGGCCTGAACCTAAGTCCCCTTCTCAGTGAGGCTGTCCCTTTCTGCCCACCTCCCTCACTTCTGACATTGTGTGTCTCTCTTTCCTGCTGTATTTTTTTCCTTAGCACGTACCCCCAACTAACATACTGGATGTTCTACTTTTAAAACACTCTATTGCCTCTCTCCTCACTTGAGGGTCAGCTCTGTGAGGGTGGGGGTTTTTGTCCAGCAGCTGATGGAAGCCGCTTGGATATTTGTAGAATTGATGGATGTTTGAGGAGAATGGTCAACTGACATTAAGATCCTATTAAGACTCCTGGAACACCTAGTGGCTTATAAGCAGCCTCAGAAATCCCTGAGACAGTCATTAGAAGAGGTCTACATCTAAGAGCGATTAAAATGAACACCGAGCTGATATGTAGAAGACTAGATTACTCTAGTATTGCCAGCAGAGTGCTGTGTAGAGTGTGAAGAAATCCAGAGATAAAGTTCTCAGTCAAACCGGGAAAAGGCCGTGATTTCCGTTACCAGGAGAGATGTCAGAAAGTGTCAGGGCCTCTGCTCCTTCAGCAGCACGCTGTCAGTGGTCAGGGCGTGCTCATGAAACCTAACAGCTGGAGCATTTTCATCAGCATCGCACTCAGGACTGTAAATGTCGAGTTGAATTACACACCGCCCTAATCCTACCGGTCAAGATAAGAAACATTAATAAGCTGCCCCTGAAATGGTGCTCACTGCAGCTGGCCTGGAATCCCGAGGAGATTACCCATGAAGATGACAAACTGAAGAAAGATGCAAATGAGAAATAATTTTGTGAAAGAATGAAACATAATTTTAAGTTTCAGAACTTAAGGGGCCAAAACTAAGCAGGGTTGCATGTATTGTATTGTGACTACAGTGTAGATGAGGTGTGCCCGGGCTGACCTTATGTGGTTGCTTGACCTGAAGGGTAACTACCAGTCCAGTCTTCTCAGCCATATCGGTTCAAAAAGTTGGATCTTTTAGTTCATGGTAAACAACCCACAAGAAACAGAGTAATAAAATATTGCCTCATTAGTTTTATACACCACACATAGAAACTTAGCACTTAGAGAACATGACCTCACATTTTAACCTACAGTATTTTAATATAATTTAGTAATTTCTGTTCACTATTTTTCAATAATGGTATATGTTACATAAATACATATAGGTTGGCTGCTTCATAACAGTATAAGGAGACATGGACTGGGATTTCTCAGTAGCCGATTAATCTTTTCCTTGATTCCTTTAAAGCTTTAACCCCAGAAAGTAGCTTTTCCCTGTTCTTGGTATCTTGTCATCTTCACAGTCGTTTGCTCCCTGATTTTTCACTCTTGGATTCCTTTTCATCCTAAAGTCTATTGACTTGAAGATCGTGACCTAATGAATGAAGTATAGTGGTATTGTGGACCTGTGGAGGGTGGGCCAGCCCTGCCTGCAGAATTCAGAAGCATCAGCTAGCTTGTCACCTGGGGACTCCATATTTTAGAGGCACAGCTTCAGCAAACAGCAGGTGTGTCATGGAGGCAAACCAAAGGCTCACCTTTACCGTCAGGCAGTGCAGGAGCCCCTGGTCACTGTTCTGATCTACTGCAGCTGTCCATGGAGGGCAGGATCTTCTGCATGTCAGGTAGACAGTAGAGACCCTCACCCTGCCCTTTAACTTCACCCCAACCCCCTACTATGAGTTGTACTGATGTGCACATTAATTTCTCTGTCCCACTTTCTAGGTGCTCACGTGACTATCACGGATCGAAAAGTAGCATTAGAATTTCTTAAGTCAAACGTCGAAGCCAACTTACCTCCCCATATCCAACCCAAAGCTGTTGTTAAGGAGCTGACTTGGGGACAAAATTTGGGGAGTTTTTCACCTGGAGAATTTGACCTGATACTTGGAGCTGATATCATATATTTAGAAGAAACATTCACAGATCTTCTTCAAACACTGGAACATCTCAGTAGCAACCACTCCGTGATTCTTTTAGCCTGTCGAATTCGCTATGAACGGGATAACAACTTCTTAGTGTTGCTGGAGAGGCAGTTTACTGTGAGTGAGGTTCACTATGATCCTGAGAAAGATGTGCATATTTACGAGGCACAGAAGAGAAACCAGAGGGAGGACTTATAGTTGGCTGTAATTGATAAGACATGTCATCACCGCGTGCGTCAGTGAAGGTCTGAGACGGGGAGTGGGACTGCACTTCGTGAAATGGCTTATGTGCGGGAACCTCGCGCCGGGTCTCGAGCACAAGCACAAGTGCAGTTTCAGACAGAGCAGCACTCTGTCCCACTGCCGTGACTCTTCAGTTACACTCTATTCAGTGCGGCGTTCGGTTAACGTGAAAGTGTGGATTTTGGTTCCTGTTGGTTGTGTACCTTGTGCTGCTCCCTCCTGTGAAGCTTCCACTGACAGCATGAGGAAGGGCTGCTGTCCAGGTTCCTCAAAGCTGTGAGCTTGTGCTGAGGCTAAATCATGCAGATTATCTTAAACACATTCTGACATAGGTGTTTAGCCCGGTTTCCTAATTTTCTGAGTATGAAACGAGGTTTAATGTCCATTCCCTGAGCTGTGAATGCTCTAGGAGTCTTCTTTCTGCCCCATTTAGGTCTTAGACTTTTGGTTTTTGAGATCAGAAAGTGTTTTCCGACGTCTCATATTATGCTTTTTGGCTTAATTTCAGATTTAGGTATATAAACAAAGGAATATGTAAAAATAAAGTTTCAGTTCCTTTTTGAAAGCACCTAAGATCTTCGACCTCCATGTCCTGTGAACAGGTTATGTTCTTCAAATCAGAAGCTGTACTTTCCCCTTGCAGCTTTACCCTTTCTTAAATGTTGGTTTTGTATTCCTTTCCTAAGCATTCCCTGCCTCCTTATAATGCATGGGATGACAATGAAAAGAGTTTTAAATCTCATCCGTCCATGTGAGGTTAGCTCCACAAGTGTGAGCTCCCTCCCTGTGATGCTGTAATTGTCAATCAGTGTCCGTGGTCCCCAGAGACTGAGCTGCTCTCCAGCCAGGGATGCTCGTGCCTCTTTCCTTGTTGCCTCTCCAGTATCGAGCATATCACAACCAAATATTTGTTGAATGCAAAACACACTCCATTTAGAGGGTATTGATCTTTGGGTTAAAAGACTGCTATGTTGTTTTATGATTATCTTTGATAGGTTTTATGAATGAAGTCATGCACACGAATGCCCCCTGCCCCCCTTTTATACAATGTAAAAGCTTAAACAAATTTAGACAAGAATATTATAATCCCAGTATAGTATTTGGTACTAAAGATAGATTTCCTTTGTAAAACCTTAGAAACAAGACCTCCTCCTCCCTCTTAACCTTTTAATGAATATCTTAGATGTGAAAATACCCAATACACTGAAAATACCCAATACAGAGCTTTTTACTTTAATAAAGGTGAATTAAAAGTTCAGAGCATCCTGTGATGTACTACTTCAATACAATCCTGATAAATGCACATGAAACAGAAATATTCATAGCTTACCAAATCCATTAAAATGCCAGTACTGCACTGTGAACATGGAAGGTCTTTTCAAGCAAGTAAAATAAAAGCCCTGCAATACCATAAACACTGGACCGAAAGCCCAGCCCCACGTGGGTGTGCTGTTAGAAACGAATGTGCTAATTGGAGTCCAGCTCCTCGACTTGAACATCCCCAGCTTTGGAGATGGGTGTTACAACGGTTTAGGGCAGGGAGGCCTGGATGCTCTGCCAAGTGAGGTAAGCAGTGACTGGGTTATTTTACATCATCATAAAACATTAAGAATCAGAAAAGGTTGAAGGTAATTTTTTTTCTTGTCCTGCAAATAGATGAAGAGGCAAGGAAAATTCAGTAGGAATAGTTTGGTTGTCTAAGTGAAAATCAAATGATTTTTTTGGCTTTGGGTTTAAAATGTTGTCACAGGTCAGGTTCCCTGGGGAACGAGGCTCAGCAATGGAGGTGTGGTGCAGAAAGTTTAAAAAGACCAACATCTCTGAGGGAGGCAAAGTAGCAGGACCAGGGAAGAGGAAGGAAATTGGGCTGGGATGCAGTCAGGAAAGTCGAATTGCGCTGGGATGGCCCTGCAGCTGGGCCATGATGAGGTGAGGGGGCGGGGCTTTCTCCGTAGGTTAGTCGTTGGATCCAAGGGGTGTAACCCTGGGGTGAAGACAGGACCTGGAGAGAGACTCAGCTGAGCCAGCAGCCACCAGCATTCCCAGAAGCTGGGGAAGCGAGGACTTCATGGGTGTGTGGTGGGGAGAGAGTACATCTGGGTAGTATGCCACAGCGTCTGCTAGAAAGGTCAACAAAGTTGTGACATTTTCCACTTATGTTAAAAGGATTAATTTATCCCATAAATGTGCATTTTAAGTCCTCAAGTAAAGGACAGAAACCTAGTATAAACCTGCTTTACTAAGCCTTGATTCTCACATCGCTCAGTTTCTTTGAACTGTTGTACAGTTAATTTGTGCAGTGGATATCTGTAACTTTTCCCCAATTAAAATCAAGGACTGCTGCCGAGATGCTATGTTAAGATACACGTATGACACCAGGTTCTTAGAACGACCACCACCAAGTACTCGGTGGCTTTCTACTAGATTACCTCTTAAGGGTATCTTGCTTTAGGTCATGATAGAAATATCCAAAGCCCTGGTACCATATTCAGATAGTTTCTAGCAGAACATTTATTCCTTCATAACACAAGGATCAGAATTTTAGTTAATCAAAATACTTTATCTAAATTAACTGAACACTAGATGGAAAACTCTTTCAGGGCACAATAACAACATTGTCTGGAATGTTGTATCTTAGCATACACAATTTATGCTCCTGGAAGACAAGGAGTATACCTCATATTTTATATTTCAAGTGTTAACACAGTGCCTCTTCTTTAAGGGAGTTCAATAAACATTTACTCATGAAAAATACAGGTTTCTTTACAGATGAGTTACCTTATTAAATTGCCTAATTTCTGTGCTTTATTTCTCCTTGCCCAAGGTAAGGGATAAATTCTCAGGGATGTCAAAATATAAAGTATATCCCAGTAACACAATTATCATGAAGTTATGTGAAGGGTCACCTCCAACATCAATTCCATTTAATCGCTATGCTTTTAGTTCATGGTAGTTGGAAGATAGAAGTATTTTCTGTCAACTTAAATCAAGATAACAAAAATACAATTTTAAAGTACTTTCAGAAATCACTTTGTAATGTGCCAGTGTTGGTAAGAGGTCCTAGATCCAGGGCCTGCCATGATCGTTGCTGAAACAGATGTGATTTATTTTAGTGTCAGAGAAACAGGCACAATTCTGCTGTTCCCAGAACCTCTCCCCAGACAGAGTCGAAATCTCAAGTCCTTTAACAAGAGTGAGGCTTTGCTGTGAGGAGGGCCCTGTTCTGGGACGGGAGACGAGGGCTCTCTCAGCACTGACGGGACTGCGGGAAATCACGGCCATCCTCAGCTCTTGCTGATGGCCACTTTAAAAATTGAGGATTTGTTAGCTCACGGGTTTCTTTCCACTCTTAAATCATGTTATGCTTTTCTTTCTACAACCAGGGAAGGGTTAAAATTTAACACTAGAAAAGATGGCATTCTGAAAAATTAAGTTCCCTGGCTGAGAACAACTGTTTCTGAGGGAGAGGAGAGGCAAGTGGTGTTAACAGAGGTGAGCCAGGGCGGTCTGCCTGCTCCAGAAACGTGTGTCAGGCTGGTTCTGCTACTTCTAATGTTTCTTACTGAAAAAAACATAGACTGTGAAGTTTGACATAAAAAATACTAACCAACATGATAATTTTATTACTTTAGTAGATTCTTAATAATGCTTAGGAAACAACCTCTAAATATGAAGAAAACCATACTTAATAATTTCTACTTCTCGGTGTTTATCCTGGAGATACACTAATTTGTGTATATCTGTAACAGTCAAAAGATTCAAACAACCTAAATGTCCACAAAGGAGAGTACTGTTAAATAAACTGTGTCCATACAATGGGACATGACACACCCGTTAGAGACTGTGGCAGGTGGACATAAACTGAAGTACAACTACTGCCAAGACACAGTCAGTGAAAAAAGCACCATTATGTAAAAAAGGGGGAGGGAGGAGAATATACATTACATTTGCGTGTATATGTACAAATTGTCACTAAAAGGATACACAAGAAACTGCTGTTTACTGCTTGCCCATTTGTAGTTGAGTTTTTTCCAAATATACGTGTTACTTAAAAAAACTAAGTAAAAAATAATAAGTGAGGACATTGTCAAGAAAGTGAAAAGCAAACAGAATAGGAGAAAATATTTGCAAATCATATTATCTGATAAGGATCTAGTATCCAGAATATCTAGGAACTCACAAAACTCAACAACAAAAAACAACCCCATTGAAAAATGAACAAAGGACTTGAACAGGCATTTCTCCAAAGAAGATATACAAATGGCCAACAAACACATGAAAAGATGCTCAACATCATTAGTCATGACAGAATTGCAAATGAAAACCACAATAAGATACCACTTCACACCTGTTAGGATGGCTGTAATTAAAAAAAAAGCCAAATAACAAGGCCAGGATGTGGAGAAATCGGAACCCTCATACGTCACTGATGGGAATGTAAAATGGTGCAGCAGCTGAGGAAAACTTTGACAGTTCCTCACAAAGTTAAACATTTGAATCACCATGACACAACAATTCCACTCCTAGGTATATTCCCAAAAGTGAAAACAGGGACTCAAACACACACTTGTACGTGAATGTTCACAGCAGCACTATTCACAATAGCCAATAAGTGGAAATAATCCAAATGTCTATCAATGGATGAGCAGATAAACAAACTGGTATATATGTGTACGCTGGAATATTCTTCAGCCATAAAAAGAATGAAGTACTGACAAACGCTACCAGGTGGAAGAACCTCAAAAACATCATGCTAAGTGAAAGGCAGACACAAAAGGTCACATATTGTATGATTCCATTTATATGAAATGTCCAGAAGAGGTAAATCTGTAGAAACAGAAAGCAGATTGGTGGTTGCCAGGGGCTGGAGGGAGCAGGAAATGGAGAGTCACACTTGAATGGGTACAGGGTTTTACTTTGGAGTGATGGAGATGTTTTGGAACTAGATACAGGTGGTGGTAGCACAACGTTGTGAATGCACTAAAGGCCACTGAATTGGTCACTTTAAAACGGCCAGTTTTGTTAGATGAACTGCACCTCAGCTGAAAACAAAAATAGAATTCAAACTGGAAATGCCCTTTCCTCTTCACTTGCTAGGCCCTCATTAGAATTCCAAGCCCCAGTGTGGTCAATGTGCTTGAGAGAGACATGGAGAAACTAGAATGCACAGTGGGAGGAAGGGTAACACTGATGAAGGCAGTGCTTTTCTGGGCTTTTGCCTTAAAAACCAGCTGAAGGAAGGAGATTTAGAGGAGAAATGAGCAGTTCTGTTCTGGACCTGTGTTCCACAGTCTGAGTGGAGATGACAAGGATACGAGTCTGGAACTCAGGGATAAAACTGTATAAAAGTGTTAGAATTATCTCCTTGGCTGTGTGTCTTAGAGCTTCTTGAGGACAGGGCCTTTTCAGGAAGTGAGTATCTGTGAAATGACAAGTGGCAGCAAAGGTGTGGTTGAAGAGAAGGTAAGCACGCTGTGCTTTTATTGAGGTCCAGGCACCTGATCATGGCTTGCAAGGAGGGTGACCGTAGGTCCCGATTTGCTCAGCATAATCCTAGTTTGCACCTGCTGTCCCCATGTAATTTATAATGTCACCCTTTCACTCTCAGCATTGTCTCAGTTTGTACAGTAAATTACGTTTATTGAGGTCCAGGCACCTGATCACGGCTTGCAAGGAGGGTGACCGTAGGTCCCGATTTGCTCAGCATAATCCTAGTTTGCACCTGCTGTCCCCATGTAATTTATAAAGATTTTTTTTTATTTTTTTATTTTTTATTTTTTCCCCCCAAAGCCCCAGTAGATAGTTGTATGTCATAGCTGCACATCCTTCTAGTTGCTGTATGTGGACTCGGCCTCAGGATGGACGGAGAAGTGGTGTCTCCGTGCGCGCCCGGGATCCGAACCCGGGCCACCAGCATCGGAGCGCGCGCACTTAACCCCCAAGCCACGGGGCCGGCCCCCCCATGTAATTTATAATGTCACCCTTTCACTCTCAGCATTGTCTCAGTTTGTACAGTAAATTATGTGGCCACTTTTTGCAGAAGAAAAGAATGAATGAAATACATGTAATTCCTTCAATACAACGGCAAGTGTAAGAAAGTGTAAGAAGGCTACGAGACACATCATGGCAATTTTAAAAAAGCACTTTAGAATAAATGTAACTGTTTATTTTCAGGGATTGACTCAATAGTATAGGAGAGTCTCTCATTCTTACGCTTCCATCAAATAGCAGATTAACCGCATCCCCCTCCTCTTTCCTTCCCTTTTATGATATGCTCAGAGAATTTCAGAATTACAAGGGGACCTGAAAAGTTATCTTTTCTTGTTGTTCTTCCCATGCAAACATGCATTTTATGACATTGAGACAGCACGTCACATGTCTCCCATTGGTTATCTCAATTGGGCAGTAACATCTCCAAATCTTCAAATAAACACTGTTCAACCTTACTGAAAAAAGAAATCTTGTGCTAAAAATTAGGAATACAGTAAAATTAAGTAACTGAAGGTATGTTCTTGTTGCTTGAATTAGTTTTCCATTGCTATGCAACACAAGCTTGTGATATAGTCTAACATAACTTTTGCTCATTTAACAAAATAAACCTAAGTCCAAGAAAATATAACTTAACACTACTACCAAAAACCTAAATACAGAGATCCCATCCCCAAAAAAGAGACTTACAGAGTTTTGAAAAGCATGTTTATGTGACTGCACATAAATGTTTGTGTAAAAAGGGCATTATGACAGTTGATACCACAAAGATTACAGTAAGAAAAAGCACTTTATGACAATATTTCACAAATTCACAAGGATCACTTTAATATACAAAGCAACTGCTACCATTCTGAACACAAAGCAGCTAATATGTACATAGTGTTAATAAAATGCATTATAACTCAGTACATTTTTTCTCTTTACACAGATAAAGCACAAAAAGATTTAGGTAAAAAAATTAAAACAGGGATGTTTCTAGAATGTAGGGAATTTCCCTCATTATAGTTATTTATTTAGTATTCAACTCCAATAGTAACATCAGAGTTAAAAAATCAATACCCTGTTTTGTGCTGATAGTTTTGGGGGGAGGTATTCTTTACCCCAATCCTCAAGGAAAAATCAAAAAAACAAACACCTTTCTCTCTAGAAACTTCCCTGATTATTTTGTTTCTAAAAAGTTTCAAGTGATACATCTAGGTTAGAAATAATTCCTTTTTTAGGTGGGGACGACAACTGACATGTGGACAAACCAGTCAGGGACAACTTTACATGGAAAACTGCTAACTAGCACTCTTCTTTGCCATCCCTAATAAATCTATACTCAAGAAAAATGTTGACAAATTATTTCCCACTTGTAATATAAATAATTTTATTACATACACAAATTGGAGTGGCACCTGGATAAAAATATGTCTATAAAGCATTTACCAATTCAATTTTAAAAACATAAGAAAATAAAACCTCCCAAACACAACAACAGATCATCCCACTTGGCCAGCTAACAGGAGATCTCCATCCGCAGGGATTCTCTTCCTCCCTACCAGTTTTAAACTATTTCAGATCTACTCTCACATCTCTGAGATGTTCCTCAGAAAGAAGCTTGGAAATGCCATACTTCTATAGGCAAGTATTAAATAATGCCTGTACAAAGTAGGTAAAATCTGAATTTCCTACTGTTTGACCCCTTTCAAAGACATTTCCTGAAGATTATTCATTTTCCTTTTACTTGCTGGTGAGATTAATTCAAACGTTTCATGCTATACCCAGCCAGAACCTGCGCTCACAGAACCAGAATGCAGACAGGCCAATACTTTCTCTCTGTGCTGAACAACTCTGCCTGTTTATAATATCAACTTGCTTCACAGGCTTTGTTCTATTTTTTTTCTATTTTTATTTTTTTAAAAAATAAATTTCAAGCTAAAACACCTGAAATATAATCCCTCCATTCAAACAGTATCTGGTCCCTGTTAAAGTCTGTCTGCCCTCCGAGGACACATACAAAGCCTTAAGCTACATTCACTAATCAACAAGAACTTATCATAAGCAGATGAGACAGATGGAACTTCAGCACCCTGTTTGATTATGTGAAATTCTTCCATACTGACTCAGCTTCATGATATGTCCACCCTCAGGGATCAGTGCCTCTCCCAGCCATTGCTAAGTCGAGGAAACCAGTTCCTAGTACACACAGTGACTGTGCAGTCAACTCAAAAGGTCAACATGTCAATGTAAAAGTATTCAAGATGTATGTCAGCCACCCGACAAAAAGTTCTAGTTGTGCTTTGTACAACTCAGGGAGCAATTTATCCCACAAATCTTTACCTACAGGCTTACGAAGCACACTGCAACCTCCCCTCCTCACCCGAAAGCAGTCAAATCTAGGCATTATTTCTTTGATGTAACAAAGCCAATTTACAGTGAAAAAAATTTGGTCAAATGATTACATGTGGTCTCCATGATGACAATAATTAATTGCCTTGAAAAAATCTTTTACTGTTCTGGACAAATTATATCTTGGTATCCTACAGACAGTATTAATATTAGGGTGAGGATAAAGTCACATTTAAAATTGGAAATAAATATTTATTCACTTGAGTTGCTTTTCCTTCTGTCTTTATCCATGATGAAAAAGAGTAAGATAGGGTTTGAACCCATCTTTTAATCAGCTGGGCTAGTCAAATCTAATTTCCTGGTATTTTTCTTTTACAGCTATATATAAGGTTAGCCTTTAGGTGCTAAAATATTTTAATCAATGAATAGCTTCCATAAAAAAGTCACACGATTTGAAGAAAGGGGAAAGACATAAAAAGTCAGTTGACAATTAATTAATGAGGGAATTTCTCAAGTTGCTAATACCCACACCGGGTCATTTTTAAAAGTGCAAGTTACACCAAACATTTACAAAGACTATAATGTAAATATAATCCAAATAAATATACAACTTTTGTATTAGGTCAATGGGAAACAACATACCAACAGTTTTCAGGGTTACAAAAGCAACAAATAAAGCCTCTTGAAAATAACTGAAAAGATGTATACCCACTAGTTCTAAAACCCACTTTAATTCAAAATCTTAACTTTAAGATATTAGCCTTACTTAATCCTGCAAAATGAAGCAGCCTTTTTGATCTTCAAAATAAAGAGACCAATGTGTGCTAATAGCTGACTGTAGTTGATCAGAGAATTAAAAACGTTAAAAATGAAAACAATCTAGATTGAAGTCACTTCAAGTAAGTAAAAGCATCCTGGTTTAAACAAACTTGTTTCTTCCTAAGCCTTTCTTTGTATGATTCCACATGTCACCCCAAATAGTCAAAAGGATAGTAGGGATTAGGCCTGAGAGACAGAGATGACCTTCAGCCAGAGGACTCTGATTGGACAGCCTGCCAACTGGCATCGTGCTTTCAGATACGAGCACTGCTGCAGACAACCTCAAAACTCATTTCCCGACAAAGACCCCTGCTCAAATGAAAACACCAAAATTCCTCCCCCAGGATGATTTCTGAAAAGTCAGTGGTACGTTTTAGAAGTTATCTTCAAAATGTTCTTACCACTGTTAATAGCTGCCAGAGACAAAGCATAAAAACCAAATATTTTTTTTGGGGGGTAGCTTTCAAGTGACTAGTAACATTTAAAAGTATCACGCCAAAGAAAACTAACAATAAAAAAAGGTAAAATACTTGGAAGAAAATTAGAAGATAAAAATCAATCATGAGTGCTGGAGTAATGCAGTCCAAGGAACTACCAAAAGGGATGCACTAGAACAAGCAAAAATGTAAAATTTCATCTGACCTCAATATACTATAATACTCAGCATTCCTGAATTAAAAGCTCTCAGAGCTTCAGATTATATACTGTATGTATATATATATATATGTACACATATATTATACAAATGCCATATCCCCCCCAAGAATATCTAAATGAACAGAGCACCTATGACAATATTATGGTTGCCAATATGGTACTTGAGTTTGAAAAAGAATGAACTTTAAACTTAAAATTACACCTGATATCAATATTTTAATAATGTGAACACATTGGATCTAGCCCTTTCTAAACCACTTTTCAGTTAAACACTATCAAAGCTTGAAAACTTATAAGAGCAATATATCAAAAATAAACCCCTCCCACTTCATTTTTATTAGAGTTCATCTGTCCTATAGATAAAAGTGCCAAATGGCCCTATATTTGCAAAGTGAGCAATACCAAACTTTTTATTTCTAAGCAAATCAGTAGCATATGTACAGATTCCTATGTTGACATTTTCATTCCCTTTTGGCCAATAATGAAGAGAAAAAACATTTATAATGTGGCCACATATGTTCTTGGCTATAAGATTTTTTTTAAGTTATGTCTTTTTTCTTAATAAAGATTCTCAAAGTTGCATGCTTAAAAACAAACACCTTTTTCCAATTCTCATTAAAAAAAAAGTCTGCACAAAAGATGCTTAATTTCTAACTGTATAAACTGAAATCTTCAAGTCTCTCCAAGGGTCTAAAACAGATTTAGCAACTGAATATGTTTTTTACCTCATCATTAAGTAACTGACTTCAAACCAGTGCAATCATCCTTAGGTACAAAGGACCCGGTCTTAGTAACTTATAAATCCAAACAGCTAATATGGATGTGACTGCCTTGATTTATCAGGGACTGCAGAGGACCACCAACTTCCTAACTGAATAGAAAGCCTCAACTTCTGAAAAATGTTCAATTTTAGAGAACACAACTTGCTAAATACTAGGCAATTTTCATTTATAAAGTGTATGATATTCAAAATGTTCAATTTTGACCATTTGACTCATTAAGAAAGAATTCTAGTTTGTGAACATATTTGTGATTTTGCTTGGTTTCTGTTAAACCAATTTTGGAAAATGACACATCTATGTTGGTATACAAATAATTTTTATGCTATACCTTTCTCCACTAGCTCAGCAGGATAAACATAAAACTTTACAGTTGTTTGAAAGCCTTCTTGAGAATCTGGTGAATTGTCCAAATATAAGACTACATCACTCAATTCTTAGAATGATGCTCCTTCATAAACTCTGTTCATCCTTGAAAAAAGACAATGGTTTGTTATAAACAAAAATAAACCATTTACAAATATTAATTAAAAATCTTCCTTTTCAAAATGAACCCAATAAATAATATGCATATTTGCATATTTTGTTAACACAATTAACAAACTTTTAAAAATAACCCATGACCAAATATAAAACATTAATTTTTTAGACTCTCTTTTAAACAGAATAACTTTGTCAAATAAGAAATTATATCCAACATTATGTCAGTCTCCAATTTTTCACATCCACCTTAGTCTTATTTTTCTTTTGAAGGGTAACTTTTAGATTTACCAGGCTTAGTGAGTAAAATGAGTAATTAATATTAAAAGGAGTACTGGAAAGAATGTACGATACATACAAATACAGACTGTTATAGTCAGGAGTCAAAACAGGTAGCTTATAGAACAACAAAGGCTACATAGCATATTGGAAAGCTAAAGCATAATTATCCTTTTTAGACAAAAACAACAAAAAAATGTTTTCCAAGAATGACAATCCAAACATTGTAGTACAGCAGTTATTCAAACATGTCTGAAAAAAATTATTTTCCTTGTGCACAGCTAATACTGTACTTTTTAGAACCATATCCTTACAATTTCTTTCATTAAAAAATTCACTAGAAATATTGTTAAAGTATGTATGTTAATATGGAAAAGATTTAAAATTAGTATTTTTCTACAACATATAACATTTTATAAACAATATGTCACTTTATTTATTTAAACTTGAAGGCTTTCTGTTGGTGGTATAATGTAAGTGCAAATGGGAACAGTTTAATTAGAAATATCCTTTTAAGTAAATGAGTGACAATATAAATATTTTTGAAGGCGATGAGAAAAACATTTATTTAAAAACCTTGTTATATAACTCAAGGGATTGGTTTACTAAGGAGCATCTTTTTACTAAGAACTTAGTACTAACTAAAACAAGCTTTGTAGTTTTATTACTTCCATTTAATTTAAAAATTCAAATACCATGCTTTTTCATTCAGTTGGTTACTTCTTTTAATGTACTGAAAAATGTGGAACACCTACAGAACTGAATTAAGAAGCAACAACCGCCCTGTGGAAGAGCTGTAGTCAACACAGAATGTTTTTAAGAACCAAGGACAAGTTTTCAGTATTGAAGAAGAGAATGTACATAGAAAACACTCCGAATTCATTCTTAATTTCTTCAACACCATACTAAAATTCCTTCCTGGAGGGTATGTCTCTTAACAATTTTCCATAATTCACAATGAAATGTGAAAACATGTCAATTTGGCAATCAACACCTCTTCATTGAATCTTACTTACTTTATGCGTGCGGCCCACACATTACTTCAGCTCAAGAAGCTGGGGTAATTCTGTCCCTAAGGCAATCAAGGAGTCAGCACAAACCTTGAAATCGTTTAAAAAAAGATTTCCTTTTCCTCATTTCCCCCATCAATTTACAGGTAAACGAATTATTACTTTCTGAAGAGGGTGGGGGATGAAAAGCAGAAGTCTCTTCATGATTCCTGGTGCTGAAAATTTCTCGAGGGGAGAAGTGGAGGCAGGTGTTGGAACATTCACAGTTTAATGCAAAAGCACAAATGAATGAAATTCTGTAGTTGCTTTCAGGCAGTTTTGCGCATAGAAAAAAAGAAATGTTTAGAAAATAAAATGTTTATTTTGTCTTTCTGGTTGTGGCCAAGCCAGTTCTTTTTCCACCATAACAGGTGAAATTTAAATCCCAAATTAATCTGATTTGTGGCAGTAAAGGTCCTTAAGTGCCTTTAGCTCCTCAATCAGTGTCTTGTTTTGGTTTTCCAGAACTGCCACTCTGTTTTCTAAACATTTCACATATTCTTTCTTCTTTCTACGACATTCTCGTGCTGCTTCCCTACAAGCAAAAAAGGACAGGAAAAATTATGCAACATTTCTATATCATTTATTTTGGGTTAGACACAGTACATTTTTTTTAGAGAATTAGTTCAAAGCAACAAACATTTTAATATATTAAAGACTAGGCATTTGAAGAAAATATACACAATGACTTGGAAATTGCCTTATATAAAATTTTAATATACCATAGAAGGTTGATTTAAAAATAACAAATATGGGGGCTGGCCCAGTGGCATAGCAGTTATGTGCGCGCACTCCACTTTGGCAGCCCGGGGTTCACAGGTTCGGATCCTGGGAGCGGACCTACGCACTGCTTATCAAGCATGCTGTGGCGGCGTCCCACATAAAGTAGAGGAAGATGGGCACGGATGTCAGCCCAGGGCCAGTCTTCCTCAGCAAAAAGAGGAGGATTGGCAAGAGATGTTAGCTCAGGGCTAATCTTCCTCAAAAAAACCCAAAACACAAAAAAACCCCAAATGTGAAAACCCCCAAACAACCAAAAGCACTGAACGAGCACTTAAAAATTACATCTATCCCTGTGTATTAAAATGCTCTGCATCATACCTATAAAACAGGAACTTCTATCAATATCAGTAACCAAGGCAATATTAAGACTAAATTTCAGTGTGAAAAACATCTTTTAAATAGAAAAATCTCAGAAACTCATCATTTCAGGGCATTAAAAAAAATCTAACATAACAGTCTTTTCAACAAATGATGTTGGGAAAACTGGATATCCATCCACATGCAAAAGAATGAAGTTGGACCTTTACCTAACACTGTATACAAAAATTAACTCAAAATGAATTAAAGACCAAAAAGTAAGACCTAAAAACTATAAAACTTCTAGAAGAAAATATAGGGGAAAAGCTTCAACACACTGAATTTGGCAGTGATTTCTTGGCTATGCCACCAAAAGCACAGGCAACCAAAGCAAAAATAAACAAATAGGACTACATCAAACTTATATCTGATAGGGGTTAATATCCAGAATATATAAAGAACTCCTGCAACTCAACAACAAAATAACCTGATTAAAAAATGGTCAAGAACTTGAATAGACATTTCTCTAAAGAAGATGTATAAATGACCCAAAAGCATATAAAGAGATGCTCAATATCATTAATCATTAGAGAAAAGCAAATCAAAATCAAAATGAGATACCACCTCATACCCACTGGGATGGCTCCTATTAAAAATAACAACCCCAAACCCCAAACAAACAGAAAATAACAAGTGTTGACAAGGATGTGAAGAAATTTGAGCCCTGGTGCACCGCTGGTGCGAATGTAAAATGGTGCAGCTGCTACAGAAAACACGATGGTGATTCCTCAAAAAATTAAAAATAGAATTACCATATGATCCAGCAATCCCACTCTTGGGTATATATCCAAAAGAATTTAGAGCAGGATCTTGAAGAGATGTAGCCAGCCCTGGTGGTCTAGTGGTTAAGATCTGGTGCTCTCACCACCTCGGCCCAAGCTCATTTCCCAGTCTGGGAATCACACCACCCACCTATTGGTTGTCATACTGTGGTGGCTACATGTTGCTGTGATGCTGAAAAGCTATGCCGCTGGTATTTCAAATACCAGCAGGGTCACCCATGGTGGACAGGTTTCAGTGTTCAGTTTCAGTGATCTTCCAGACTCAGACAGACTAGGAAGAAAAACTTGGGCACTCACTTCTGAAAAAATTGGCCATGGAAACCCTATGAATAGCAGCGCAGCATTGTCTGATACAGTACTGGAAGGTGACAGGATGGTGCAAAAAGACCAAACAGGGTTCTGCCCTGCTGTACAGAGGGTTGCTAGGAGATGGAATTGACTTAATAGCACTAACAACTTGAAGAGATATTTGCACACCCATGTTCACAACAGCACTGTTCACAATAGCCAAGAGGTGGAAGTAACCCAAATGCCTGTCAACAGATGAATAAATAAAAAAAGTGCTATATACATACAATGAAATACTACTTAGCCTTTAAAAAGAAGGAAATCTTGTCACATGCTATAACATGGATGAACCTTGAGGATACAGTGCTAAGTGAAATAAGCCAGGCATAAAAAGACAAATACGGTATGATTTCACTTATATGAAGTATCTAAATTAGTCACTCATAAAACAGAATGTAGAACGGTGACTGCCAAGGACGGGGGGCAGGAGGAAGTGAGGGGAGTTGTTTATTTAACACAGTTTTAGTTTTGCAAGATGAAAAAGTTGTGAAGATCTGTTGTACAACAATGTGAATATACTTAACACTACTGAACTATATACTTAAAAATGGTTAAGATGGTAAATTTTATGTCTTTTACCAAAATTAAAAATAAATTATTAAAAACATCTAACATTAAAAATAATAAAAAAATATCTTTTGGAGAGCTAGTAAGTCTAAACTAGTAAACTCTTTTTTAGCTCTATGTAGATAAAAGCCATATCTTATTCTTTAATATCCCGTCAGTAGCGCAGGGATTGGCACAAGGTAAGTACTTAGTGTTGAATGAACATAAGAGTTGAAAGCAAAAAAGTTCCAAGTCTTTAAAAAATTTAAAAAAGCAGCAATTTACAATCCCTCATTTACAACAGTGGCAGTGTAGCACAGCAGTTAATAGTAGTATCTTCAGGGTCAGATTCTTAGGTTTAAGTGGTTCTACACTTTACCAAGTATGTGACCACAGGCAAATTACTTAACCTTCGTTTCCTGACAGTAAAAAAGGATAATATGATCTACCTCAAAAGTTTTATGAGGATTAAACGAGTTGACAGATGAAAAGCACATGAAATAGTGGGTGGCATTCTGTAAATGTTATATATGTGTTAGCTATTATTATTTCTAGATAACTCAAATGGTAGTACATTATAACTCCATTAAGGTCTTCATCCCCATATAGCCTATCAGTTCAGGAAAAAAAAAAAGGAGCATTTTCTTCTAATGCAAGCTGAGTTTTGGAATTAAGAAAACTGCACCTAATGTTATATTATCCATGATAGAGAGATATGAAGAACACATGATCCACTGCATCACTCTACCACTGAAGAAAATTTTTTTGGAAATGGTTTGAAAAATGGCCCAACATTCCCATGAAGAGTGAACAAGACAAGCCAAGAATGCTACGAGGTCAAGAGAGATGGAAACGGTGACAGTACGATTGATTGAGAGATCAATCTGGATATTCTGTATGTGGTGGACTCTAACAATACAGAAAACATGTGGGATGTACATACACTTACGAATCTAATTTTAGCCAGGGCTGACTAATCTTGTTTCCTTTGCTTTCTCCTCTCCATCCTCTGAGAATTTCCAGTCCACAAGTGCCCATATGAATGCAATGTCTACATACAAGTTTCCAAAGTTAAACTAGTATGATCCTAAAGGTTAGTCTCCCAACTTTGTTCCACCAAAATCGGTATACTAGTGTTGTGAAAGATTAAAATATACACTTCTCAAAAGAGAAAAAAAAAAACAGTGGGCAAAGAAAATTAACACATTTTTTAAATGCAAGACCTTCTCAATCCTTTTGATATACTAATGTGAACTGACACTCTCTTCAAAGAGGAATTCTTTGCAGCATGTCCCAAACTGATTTTGACTATACAATACTTTTTTGGGAGAATAAATTTCAAGTAACACTGTCTTGCAGAATGATGCTCAAGGTAGGCACAGTTTAAAATAAGCCAATTTGGATACCAATTTAATACAGTATGATCAACCAGCAAGAGTTCTAGCTGAGGGTCAGGAGGTCTGGGTTCAGATCCTGGCTTCGACACTAACTAGTTGTGTTGCTTCCAGCAGGTCCCTTCCCATTCAAGGACTGTTTCCTCATCTGTTTATACAAAAAAACTCAACCAACCAAACAAAAAGGACTAATCAACATGTGTCAAACCAAGACAGTTAGCTTTGTATTAAGGTGTATGCAAAACCAGGGAATAAACACGGCATGTCACTGAAAGCACCAATTTTAGTTGATGGGGCAGATGGGCGGCAAGCGTTTTCACAGTAAAATGAGCATTACTATATTTTGGAATAGAATACAAAATTCAAATGAACTTTAAATAAATCTTTAGTTTGGCGAGTGCTTCTTAAAGCTCATCAAAAATTTCTAAGTATTTTTAAGAACAGAAGAGAATGAAAGGATTAGTCTGAGGATATCGTGTGAAGAATAAATGGACCTTTGATATCTCTTCCAGCACAGAAAGAGGATCTTATGATTCCAAGCATTCTTGTAAACAGATGGCCTATAAATTCTGAAATTGATTTGACAGACATTTTTAGAAAAGAGTTCTGGGGCCAGCCCGGTGGCAGAAGCGGTTAAGTGCGCACGCTCCGCTGCAGCGGCCTGGGGTTCGCCGGTTCGGATCCCGGGCGCACACCGATAAACTGCTTGTCAGGCTATGCTGTGGCGGCGTCCCATATAAAGTAGAGGAAGATGGCCCCAGATGTTAGCTCAGGGCCAGTCTTCCTCAGAAAAAAGAGGAGGATTGGCAACAGATGTTAGCTCAGGGCTGATCTTCCTCACAAAAAAAAAAAAAAAAGAGTTCTTTCACATAATGTGTTTCAACATCCTCCTCCTTCATTTACTGAACTAATTCTTTGCCTCAATATAATTTTATTGTTTCACTTATTCTTTCCTTTTTCAGTATCTTCAATTCTTCTATACTACCTGTTTTCTCTTTTGCTTTTGAAGAAGTTTATGAACTGTATTGATTTTTTAACAACCAACTTTTAGTTTCAATGATTTTTTTCTATTGGTTTTCTCTTTTCAATTTCATTGATTTTAATTTGCTCTTTTTTTCTAGTTTTTTACCACAGAAGTTAGGCTGGCAAACTTTTTTAAAGGGCCAGATTGTAAATATTTCAGGCTTTGCAGACCATATAGTCTTTGTCACAACTACTCAACTCTGCTGTTGTAGGGTGATGGAAGCAACCATGGGTAATACATAATGAAATGAGCCTAGCTGTGTTCCAATAAAACTTTATTTATAAAAACAGGCAGTGAGGTG